TGTTGAAAATTTACTACTACTAATCTTTACTATTTTTTATATCTTGCCATTCCCATGTGGAAGATGAATATATACTCAGTTTCGGCGAAATCGGGGCACGTACATATATAATTTTTACCGAAGTTTGTATGGGAATGTTACACTGTGCATAGCCTGCCACAGATGCATACATGTTTTAAAAAAAATTGTTTCACTTACATACAGGTCTCAAACTCGCAAAATTAGCTCCAAAAAGTTTAAAATCAATAAAACCAACAAAGTACTCCAAGCCCCTCTCAAAAAACAAACAGAAAAAACAAAAACTGATAAGAGACTTAACGCACTCGATGTGATGATAAATTGATTAGAGTTGACAAATTATGCGTGCAACAATCAGTAAAATTTCCAGAAGGCAAAAAAAAAAAAATTAAAGCAAGAAATGCATACCAACAAAACGCGCATTGCTCATGCTCTGATACGCTGCCTACGCCTTACAAAAGTGGAAAATTAAAAAAATTCTTTAACGACGAAAATCAACTTATCAACACACATGTTGCTGTTCATATTTTTGACAATTGCGATAAGTAAACGACAAGTATGTGTGTACATATGCACATCCATACATCGTTGTTTAAGGTACAAAACCGCGTATCAACAAAATTCAAAACCGCATATGTGAGGTTGCATAAATTATTTTCTGGAGAGTAAAAACACTCATATTTCAAAATGGTTCTTTTTTTTATAAAGCAATCGTATTTGTGGCTAGTATATTTCAGGACGAATAGATAAGGATTGAGCCAAGAGCTTGTGTAAGCAAATCCAATTTCTGGCAGCAAATGTCACAGTTAGGCGGTTTTGCAGAATCACGATACTCGATTTTGTACTTTAAATGACGATATGTTGTATGTATGTATAGTGTTAGTATATGAACAAAAACAAAAAAAATATTACGTGCATGAGTAGAAAAGTGAGTCAAGTATGTATGTACATTAGACTGCATCACTGCCCATACAAAAAAAGTCGGTACTGTTTTTCCATTGGAATTATAAAATCTATTATATTTTAAGACGTCTACCAAAATATTTCGGAAAAATATAAAAATTTAATCAAGCTGGAAAAATCTCCAAAAATTGAGCTTTTATGAATAAAAATAATTTCTTAAAGATGTTTTTTGAAAAAATCCCCTCAAATGACAAAACGGTTTAAGCTTAAAAAATTTACTTAAAACTATTTAAAAAAAAAAAAGAATTTAAACGGAATCGTAATAATGAGATTTTTTATGCCTCATTCAAAGTTGAATAATGAAGTAATACCGAGATCCCACAAGTCTTAATCAGACTATTTTTGACCCACTTATTTAAGTTTTTCGTAAATTAATCTTTGAAAAAAGTAAAAAAAACAGCATCAAAAATCTCATTATTACGATTCCGTTGAAAAGATTTTTAAATACATATTTTTATGCAGATTTTTTAAGCCTAATCTGTTTTGTCATCTGAGGGGACTTTTTTCAAAAAAAAAAATCTTTAAGAAACTATTTTTATTCATAAAAAACTCCATTTTTGAAGGGATTTTCAAATCGGTCCAGCTCGCTTAAGTCTTAATATTTTTTCGAAATATTTTGGTGGACGTCTTCAAATATAATAGATTTAGTAATCCCGGCGGAAAACACGAAACTTTTTTGGTGATGCATGCTAATGTACATACATATGCACATATGTAGATAGTTTTGAATTTCTTCTCCGAAAACCATCAGTGTATTGAATTGAAGTGTCAATTTGACAACCTGAACTTGCGCAAACAATTTTAGTACCAGGCACCTACAAAGCTATTTGTATGTTTATACATTCATACCTAGGCATATTTTGCTTGTTGTTGTTATTTTTGTTTTGACATGATTTTTTTAATTTTTGGGTTTTGTTTTTTTTTGTTTTGAGTGATACGAGAGTTTACTCGCATTCCACATTTTGACTTCCACGTGTAGTTAATATCATTGTTTGTGTTTATGATAGCGCCCTTTTCATTATCAACATGCTACCTGTTCTAATATTTAGTTTGGTCTTGGGAGAGCTGAGTTTTGCCTTCAAGAAGTACCTGTTCTTCGCTTGCGCTTATCTGTACAGTTAGTGTGCGTGTGTGCAGATAAGCGATTAGCTTTCCATTTAATTAATTCAATTCATATCGTTTAAAAACACAAATATATGAATATAGGTATATACGTGCACGTGTCTGTATGTACGAAAATGTAGTACCTACATATCTGCCATTCAGCAAATCAAATGTTGCTCTTTGATTGATGTGAATTGAAACTTGGCTAATGATAAAGCAGTAATTGTTATTGTTGTTTTTAGGAAGTTCCTTCTAATTAATTTTTCGATGAATTCAGCGTGATAAAGTTCATTAAATAGTAATTTGAAAAAAATCATAAATTTTTCTTAAAAAAATGCAATTTAGATTTATAGCAATTATAAGAGTCATATGTAACTTTACAAAAATGGAAACAAACTCATGGCAGAGCGGTAATTACTGCCGAGGGGAAGATCGACCTATCTCGGAAGGAATTTCGAAAACGCCCTATCTCAGAAAACTTTTCACAAACGCCAGACTATTTGAGAATTCGGTTGAGCCATCTCAAACCCATCTATGAATTGGGTTCGCAAATGCCCTTTCTCATCACATTTTTAATACATTTTCATTTGAGTTAGGGCATTTTTGAACCGAATTCTCAAATAGGGTGTTCTTAAATCAAATTCTGAAGTAGGGCGTTCTTGAAAAGTTGTCTGAGATAGGGCGTTTTCTAACTGGCCAACGAGTTGGGTTGATATTCCACTCAAGTGTCGATATGTTTGCCAACAAAATATGTAGCAACACTTGCAATCATGGCTGAATTACATTCGGTAATTTGGTATTGCCTGCCGAATGTTGACTGCTATTAGAAAAAGCTTCGATGCTGCTGCGACCAAGAATCGAACCCTGGACCTAGCCCCTCAACCTATTCGGCCGCCACACAGTGGAAAAAATCACTTCGTTTAAAAAAACAATCCTCATATATCATGCCTTTATTTTGGGCTGAATTTGTAAGTTTTTTTTCGACTACTCAGCAGACAGCACCACATCCAAACAGTAAAATTAATAGCGAACCTTTTAAAAAAAGAATGTTCCAAATTGGGGAAGATGTGAGGAGTAGGCAGCTTTTTAGACACAAAAAGGATTGTTCCCACTGTGCGCCGGTAGAAAAGAGTTCACTCGGAGGCCACAGAGGGCCATTGCGATGCCCTGGGGTATTGTATTCCTATACCTATATCGGGTCCTCTAGAGAATCCTATCAGTCCTTCCAGTGAAGCTTGGCTCTCGAAGAAGTGGTCTCCAAGAAATTTGAGGCGTTTTCCTCGGAGTGCTGGTCACTCGCCGGCAGGAGACCGCAGTGTAGATTGAAACCACCACATAGTTTCTGAAAGTTCATTTTTGGGTTTTGCTTTCGTTTGATAGGAATTATAGAAAAAAATTTAGCAAAACGAAGGCAAATTTTACATTTAAACAGCCAGGAAAAAATTTATCAAGTTTGCTTAAATTTGAGCAAAACGGCAACGCTGGAGGACACAGTTGAAAATGAGAAAATAAGAACAACCGTCGAGTAAGAAACATTGATTTTTATTAATTTGGAACGACATCCTTACAACAGGTGTATGTATAAATAAAAACTGTTACCAGATCCATTAAATACTCCAAGAAAAAATTGGTGCTCTTTTCGAGAAGAAACGCAATTTTTCTTGGGTTTCAGTGATTTTTCAAATTCAAAACTTGTCAACACTGTTATTTTTGAGATAGGTGATAGGCTCAAATCCACATTCACATTTCAGCTTCATTTTTTAGTGCCAAACAATAAACAAAGCGCTAACCCGACGGCCCTCTTTAAATAATAATTTTTTTGGTCTTCCTTTCTAATTTATTTGATTGCATAATTATGCAATTTGTTATTTTCTATCATTATTTTTAGTTTATAGTTATTAAATGCTTAGCACTAAACTAAGCTTTTACAAGTAAATCGCAAATTCGTCTAAGGCTGGGTGTTACTGCTTAAGTACATCACATCTTCTGTGTCACTTCCCGGCTAGTCATAAGGATCAAACGCTGAGCAAATACTTCTGATGATCTAGGTTCCTCTTCGAAGGCCTAAAACTCTGACCGTTCTATACAAAAAACGAATAAACAATTGAGAACGAAAAAATTAAAAAAAAAATAAATAAATAATTGGTGCTCGAAATTTTGATGTCAGAGGGAGAATTTTCTTCCGAAACTCTAGTATATACTTATTAAATTTGTATTAATAAGATAATAATAATCGGATAATAATTAAAATATTTAAATTTTGCGCTTAAAAAAAAAATTGCCTAATAGACTTAAATTTTTCCTTCAAATGTCCACAGACATTTATTCACAGCACTTTTTTTTGCAGTCTCATTGGCATTTTTTTTTTTAATTGTCTGATAGCGTGGGAACTTTAGCTTAAAATATGTAGTCTTCCACATACATATGTATTTATTATGACTTATTTCCTTTCCGTTTGGTCTCCTGTATGTCAATGACAATTTTGCATTTTTTTTTCGTCGTACATACCTACTTACATACCACACTAATATGATTTTCGTGCTTTGCACATTTCACATTGGCAGCTAAAAATTATTAATTGTACAATGTCACATTTACTGATTGCACCTAGTTCCTACATATATAAATATGTACACTCATATATAGCACAATACTTGTCCACTATGTATACATATATACAGGGGCGCACCCAGGAATATATTTTTGTGTGCGCTAATGCATATATGTATGTATAATGTACATGCTCGCATACGAATGATGCGGACGACATTGATTCCACTACTATTTTTATACCCGAGCGCACTTGTGCACAAGGGTNTAACAAGTTGGAAAAAATGTGTCTCATCCTCCTTCATACTTTTACTTTCTTAAATTTTGCGCTAAGTACTATCTTCCATGTTTTCATGTCCTGCGTGTCCTGTTACTTCTTGAAGTTTAATAATGTGTCAGGTATTTCGTTGATGAAGTTCTAAAACAGAAAATGAATACATCAGTATCTACGTAGGTATAATTTTTGAAAATTTTTTTGTGCTTTTATGAAATTCTACTTACATAAACTGGATGTGATATATCGGGACTTGAGTAATCGGCCCACTTCGTCAGATCTATTGATGGAATGATACCACTCTTGCATGGCACTCGTGGGTTACTAAAAAATATACAATTTAATACATAGTTAGGTGCATAAGTAATAGTGAACAAGTCTCAGAGAATAAAAATAAACGAATTGTTTTTAACTAAAAAAATTCCACTAAAAATGGGAATACATATCGAGCCCTAACCGCCAAAATAACGTAAGTGATTTTTTTTTCAATTTTACTTTTACTGCAGAAATATTCCTAGAGCATCTAGATGCTTTTGTGCATTACAAATAAAAATTTGAAAAAAATTTTGCTTACGTTATTTTGGCGATTAGGGCTCGATATTTATAAATCCGAGTCCTAAATATGGACTAACTCGATTTTTCGAGACTAAATATATCGATAAATATTGCAATAAATAAATCGGTATTTATATCCATAACAATATCAATTATTATAACGTTAACAATATCGATAGAATTTCTCATAAATATATGGATTGCAAAATCAAGATCGATAAATATAACGAAAATTCGGAAAATCATTAAATAGTCCCGGTGGCGTGAATTTAGATGTGGGGGATCAGGCATGGTGAGCTTAAGTGAGAACTGGTGAGTATGTATGTGGTAAGTCGGGGTGAATATTCGATTCTGTTATTACTATATCTATTGATATCCTTACCGATAGATTTATCGAAATACTTGACAGTTCTATTATTGTCGATATACCTGACAAAATCGTTATCAAATTTTATCGACTTTCACGATTTGTTCTTTAAAGCTTTCTATTCTCATCAGTCATCAGTCATCAAATAGTTTTTCCATTAAAACTTACATTTCATGATCCGGCAACACCATCGGATAAATTTGTATAGTATCTATAAGATCGGTGTTGTCACAAATCAAGCGTGATAGCTTCGCCTTCCTCAGCTCTTGCAGCTGCTCAGGTGTGAACGATGAAGGCTGATTAGGCAACTCATACCAGAAGCGGTCACCGCGCCGCACATAACTCATTTGTGTGGCAATAACGCAAGCGAAGGTTGGTCCTAACATTGAGCCCGGTAGGGGCTTCTCTGAAACGCCACCTGACCAAAGATCAATATCAGCTGGATGCCTGCAAAACAAAGTAATTTATAAAACAGTACATATGTAATTGCAGGAATATAAACAAATACTTACTCGAAGATACTCTCGTAGCGCAGAATTGTATCGTTTGGCATTGAACCGAACATTTCCTCCCATGACGTCGAAGTGGGCAGACCGCAAAACTTTCTAAACTCCATATAGCCAGGCAGGCCGAACTCACGACCGCGCTGCATATTGAATGCTACCAAATCCAAGCCATAGCGCGCTCCCTCCTTCTTGAACAAATGGTTGGTCACCTCCTGCGTTATGGAATCATCCATCGCCTGCGCCACTTGATTCATCAAGCCCATAAAGTATTCATCCAACACTCCAGCGCGATACAAATCATACGGCCGACGAATTAGATCCGACAAACGTTTCGAGGCGATAAATTTGTGCGCCTTTGACCAACGCTCCACGGCGGTGGGTAGCAACGAGTGTCCGAAACGGAACGCAGCACCAGCGAAAGCATCAATAATACCAGGATTCACTTTATGATCATAGCCATCCCAGTAGCCATCTTTCTGCAGCACCAAACCGAATTTATCCATCACTTCTTTGCCCAACAATATGGGCAAGAACTCATTGAATGTCACATGTTGCACGATAGCGATGTTGATGCGACGCGCCTCTTGGAATAGGGTTTCATCATCCCAATGCTTGTTGATCTGTCCCAATGCTGACGCTACGCGATTGTGTTCGCGCGCCATAAGCGTATGCATGCAGGTCAGCACCAATTGTTCGTTCACTCGTATCTCGCCAGCTTCGAAACAGAACATGCTCTTATTCGGACGCGTGCAACCTTCATCGGGTATATCGAGTTTCAGTGGCAACAAGTCTTTGAGTCCGTACTCTTGAAAGACGGGATTCATGCGCAACAGGCCACCATAGCCGGTGCGAAGTTTTCGGGAAAATTTCTCACTGATACCGTAAACAGTGTTGGCGTCAATAACACCGGTGAGTGTGTTGAATTGTTGGCGGGAACCTGCAATGAGAGTAAGGTTTTGGGGTGAGATTTAGTTTTGAAAGAGCTGCAGAGGCTGTCTATTTGTATCTATCCCGATTTTTACTATTTCCTCTTTTATTTCTTGGAGAGTAGCTCTTGCTAATTGCTTTTCACCAGGATGACAAACCACTCAACCAACCCATCAAGACAGAGGATACATTACACTGTGAGTCGCTTGGTCTCACAATTAAATATTAAAACAGTACTCACCCAATCGGCAACCTGGTCGTGGGGAAGGAAAACCCCGCACAAAATCTATACACTTCACGTTGAAAAGTCGATAGAAATAATCATCGTCTGGCACACGAATTTCATTACAGTACGGATGCTTTAGATGCAGAGGGCGTTTGCAGCACTCTTCCGGATCATTGCGATTAATGGGATCTGCAAAACAGGAAACGCATAATTTTTAGCAATGAACCGAGACAAACTATCATTTAAACAAAAGCTCACCCAACGGCGTTCCGGTTAGTGTAAAATCGTGGTCCATAAATTGACCCCAAGCAATAACCATAACAGTGCCAGCGTGATCGTGATAACCATCATCGGGATGCATTGTACGCGAGACAACACGCGAAATGGGCAGATCATGGCCTGTGACTGAGATGCGTGGCGCATTTATGCCATCCGAATAGAGTGGGCCGACAAGGCGTTGGAATGGTGACATTACAGCGCCCCATGTGGGATGGTCGATGTTGTTGCAAAGGCCATCGAAGCGCCGATACTTGCCAGGACGGCACTCCACGCCGGCAAAGAAGGGCGGACACACGTCGCGTATAAGTGTTTTCGATGTGTCGATAGTGGGTAGCCCCTTTTCGATTTCCTCGTATGACAGACCGTAACTGTAAGAAAAACAAACAAGATGGAATATGTGAGCATGGGGAATTAATTAAATACAAGGCGATAAAACAAAAATGTATGAATGATACATTTGTACTATTGGCTATTGAATATGTATGTATGCTCGCCGATATTTGCAAATAAATGCAATCGAAATCTAACTGACACCATAAACAACTGGGTCATTAGAACGCATGTGATGCCAACAGCAATTAATGACAAGCTAATGAGGTAAATGCGGTGGCGTAAACCCACATGTAACTATGTATGTCAATTGGTGATATGCACTAGGGTGATCCAAAAAAATAATAACATTAACATTATTTATTTATATATCTTTTATATATAATACTTTTATTTACTTTAATAATTATTTTTATTTTTTAGCATACATAAAAATATTAATTTCTTTAATTTAAGATCTCTTTCAATTTTTTTATGCTAGAAAAAAAAATAATAACTTAAATATTTCTACAAAATTAAAACGAAACATCAAAAATTTCAAAATTTTTAGTTTTTATCATTTTTCTGTCCCTCTATTTTAATAGTCTTGTTCTTGCTCCTTGGAAATATTTTTCCCATGATAAACGACAAATGCATTCCAACTTTTGTTTGCTAAAAAAAAATTATTTTGGCTGAAGTATCCATTTATATTTCAACTCACCCTTAAAAACGCAAAACTTTTTAGAGATTTTTTTTCGTCTCACAGAATATTTTTCAATTGCTCCAGATATGTTGTCTATTTTGGTATAAAATAAGCAATAACTTGATATTAGGGTGTACCTGATAGTAGCAAAATATCTATCGTGATATAATGAAAAATTTAGAGAAATACGATTTTGTGCCTAAAATGGACTTGAGCGACCTCTGAAATTTTTTCAACAAGTTATGAACTTATATTTTTCGCCAAAAGGAACACTAGTTTTCCCAAACACAAGATAATATTTAAAAAAAAAAAAATGTTGGACCACCCTTATACGCACGCACTATTCGACTAACGGTAGTCTACAGTAATTGCATTCACAGCGTAACGTGGCAAAAATTAGTCAGAACGGACAGAGTAAATACGTATTGATAGTAAGTTTTCTTTGCGTCTTTATTTTTTTCCTTCATTGCTTCTATAAAATATTCAATTGCAATTTTTGTAACTTTTTTGGCAAATGATAATGGCAATGTTGAACCAAATCATTCTTCCGTTCGCACACTCTCAGCTTTTGGTTTGCGAATATTGCAAAATTATCAAATTAACCCAATTCGAAGTGTCGCCGACAACTGACCGTTAAGTCTAAAATATGCAATTAATAGCTATTTATATGGCTACAACAACAAAAATGAACTAAAATGCAGCAAATAATTACTCTACAAGACAAGCGAAGTTTTCTCTTAATAGCCGACAATCGCACGAATAGTACAAGTATTCAGCTGAGAATTTGTACTTATGTGTAAATCGAAATGAGCCGTTACGAGTAAACGTATATACATACATATTTATGTATGTTTAAAACTAATTATTTAAACAAAAAAAATCAACGAAAACAAGGTACTAAGAATTTCGTTGACTTAATCAAACCGGCATCATGTGATATTGTTTACACATTCGGCCTGTTTAAATGTGACTCGCAGAGAGTCGTAACTTTTCGGGATGTACGCTATGAATATATGACCGTACATAAAAGATGATCAATCAACAAAATGGGAGAACTAAAGCTACGGTCATTTCTCTTGCTATAATACTGGCTAGTGGCAGTCGGAGGTAACGTTGTTATTAGCGGACAATGGGTTTGATGGTTCTGAGATTGATTCCCCTATTTCTCGGACTGTGTTTTGAGCTGTGACTGCTTTCCTATAAATTACCCTACATCCTAGGTGGAACACTAGTAGTTTCAAAAATTAAAAATTATTGAAATTTCGGTGCTGTACTTTCTCAGCTCGCAATACTCGTGGGAAAAATTAAAGAACAATATTTAACAGAAACTTCACTCCCGGTCCAAGGCTATACATCAGACGTCAGATCGACTTTTTCAGCAGTCTGCAGGGCGATTGCAGTCTCCGGCAGAGCCATTGGACACGCGCAAGGAGACGTAGCGGTATAGTCCGAAGCAATGGCACTCCCAAACCTGTCTGCTTAGCAAAAGCTCCACATTAGTTGTCGAATTTTCGTCGAGTTCAGCTGTTAGCGGCGTGGGGTCCGAAGTATTTTCGGTTTAAGACACTGATAGCACGCTTATCTTGGGCTCTATCAGTGTGTGCTCTACTGCGCGAATCTTAACCGAAGTCGATACAGTGGAGCAAGAGGTTAATCTAAATAGCACTTCAGGCTTCATTCATTTCACTGACAGAGAAAGTTATGCTTTCTTGAGAGCGCAGTACTTGATTTCACTTTGATGAAACGTAAGCTTTCGTGCTGGCAAAAGGGTTACACAGATGCTTATACATGAGTATAAGCAAAGGAGTCTAATAATGGAATAGGTATGCGAGACTCTGAACCACCTACTTAAAGTGCATACATAAACCCTCAGAAGACCGGTACTGTACCCTTTACAACAAGGCAAAAATCAATCGTGTCTATGGAATAGGCTAGATAAGAAATTTTATAGGAAACATCTTGAGAGAATTATTGCTATAGCCACACTGAGCATGGTGAAATGTCGAATAGGTGGTTAAGTGATCTATCGGATTATGTCTTAGGCATCCGTAGTATGATGGCAGAAGACATTGTATAAAAATATGTCATTAAAAGCTCTCACAATGTTGCGAAGTGCCAAAGCTGGGATAACACGATTGGTACATTTGTACAGATTTGTCCATTTTCATCGTTACAGATTGTTTGAAAAGTTGTTATTGAGCTGAACCCATTCTATTTAAAAATTTCTTGACAACACCACTCTGTGACTCCCAAATGTACAAATATAGAAATCGTGTGATCTCTGCTTAATAGAGCGATTTCCATATTTTTAAGCAGCTGGCGTATTAGACCTTGTGAGGAAGCGTTGGATTTAAAGATAATTCAAAAGCCTATCTAGGAATTTTTACTAGAAATAACAAAGAGCTAAAGTTGCTTGGGTTAGTATGGTAGGCTCTGTATGCCGAACCAAACAATCAATCATCCTCAATCATCCTCATGAGCGTTTTAAAAAATCATTGCCAATTGTCACCCATGAACTGATCTGCTGTTACATAAGAACAGAACTCAAAGTAAAGCAATTGGTAGAAGTACGGGATTGTGGATGGTGTGAAAAATTTTCACAATTTAAATATAAAACACAAGTTTCGTCTTGTTTTCTAAACAAAAAATGGCTTTTATACAGTATACCCTTATAATGCTGATGGACCACATCCTTTCCGCAATAGAGCTTTTTAAGTTTTCATATCAAATCTGTTTAAAGCTTTAAAAAGCCGGTCAGAGGGGGCTTTTACTCTATTCCCATCCATATAAAATCTATGGAAAGCTTTAAAAGAACTTTCAACGCGGGATATATTTTGGTTGTGACTGAGCTATGCACAAACATACATACGTTCTGAGAGACGCTTTATTCCATGGCGCGAAAATAACCGTTTTTTTTCGATGTTATAAAAGTCCGGTGCAAAATATTGTCGTAGAAGAAAGTTATCAATGTTCCTTTGTTCCCAGGACATTCCGGACAAGAATCCTGGATTTGTTTTTATTTTTCGCAAGTTTTGGGAAACAATCCAATTAAAACTGAAAAATCCTGAGTTTTGTTGTCCAGTAATAACAGTTAAACTTGGCCAAATATTTTTTAAGGCCGAAATAAAAGTCCTTTCTTAATAATAAACAAACCGCCTAACGCAATTAAACAAATTTCATACCAAGAAAAAGAGAACTGAAAAAGCCTTCCAACAGAAATATCTAACCGAAGGTTGCCACGTTTTTATACACATATTTTTTCTATAATTTAATACAAAAGAAATTCACATGCGGGACCCAAGATTTATTCCATGGCAATTAGATGCAATTTTTAATTGAAATATTTTTGAATAGGTGGCATTTAATATGGATAAGCGGTTTATTTATTATAAGGAAAGATCCTTTATTTGGTCCATAAAAAATGTATGGCCAAGTTTAACTGTTATTTATTACTGGACTTAAAAATCCGCGTTGGCCGTTTATTTTACTCCAAATAAAAAAAAAATTGAAAAATAATTTTTTTCTAATGACTTGTACAATAAATGTTATAAAACTCCGAATCCCTTTTTTATTCTGTGCGCCTCCATATAAAACTTCAAACAGCTTCTCCTGCGCACTATGTGTAGGCGGGAGCTGATTTAAGGATACAAAAACCTAGTACTTACGTCCTTGCTAACTGGATAGAAATATCTAGTAGCAATTCACCGACCGTAGCCAATTCATCCGCCTTCCAATCGCCCTTCGGTTGCGCCACATCTAAAATTGTGAATTAATTTTACTTTAGCTATTTATTGTGGGAGATGTAATCATTAGTTACTTATTTATATAGCATTTAAGTAGTACTCACGTATTCGTTTTCGCGCATCCAAATAGGCGGCATTCACTGCATCATAGGTAATGCACGTGCTATCTGTTGTGTAGGGGTTTCTGTAAAGATATAGCAGGAAAAATACTTAATTAATTTCTCAATTAAAACTACTGTCACAAATGCTCATTAATTTATCTAAATGTGAAAAATATTGTACACCTCATATTCTTGGGAGAAGAGGAAATAAAATACACCGTTTGATTTGCAAAACCCCATTTTTATTCGATTCATTCATTCAATTTGCGCGCACCACCTCACTTTCCCTTGCACTTTCTATGCCATTCAAATCGACTTCAACGCTTCACAGCCAGCAAGCATATCGTCTGTAATTGCATTTCGTCACCCGCTTTAGTAACCCACATTGTCTATTCTTTATTATCCAATCAGCTTGTTGCTAGCTTATCGCTTTTAACCACTCTATGCCACACCACCACCGCGGGAAAACACATCGTAAACATCAAATAAGCGAGTTCAATGCCTACGTCAACATAGCTCAGACAACGTATGTATTTATTAGTGTAAAACTGCCCTGCAGGAAATGTATATAACTATAAGCTAACTTCAAGTTGATTAGGAAGGAGCTAAAAATCTCTTATTATCTGTATATTTTCTTTGAGGAAACCTAACTATATTTCTATGGCGATGGCCGCGAAATAGTCAATGGTGGTTACCTCTGCATTTGATGGAACTAACTTGCAACTAACTACTTTTGGACATAAAATATTAATAGGAAAGACAAATTATTATTTTCCATTTTTTTTTTCTATATTTATTTACTTTATTTATTTTATTAGATACATTTCATATTTGTTTGCACGCTGCAGTAGTTAGCTTTTTTGTGGGATTTCTATAACTAAGCTAACTTGAAACAAGCGGACAAGTAATGCTGGAGTAAAGCTCGAGATTACTTTCTTTAAATGCGTTTCTATTTAAATATGATGCACTTCGCAAATACTTTTTCGAATTGAAGACAAATAAAAGGAATATCGTAATGGCATATTATCATTTTGAAGTTATGTCTGACGGAGTTCGAATATGGGACCATCTACAGCAGAATATGCAAACAAATATGAAATGTGATAAAATAAATAAAGTAAATAAAAAAAATATTGAAAAAAAGTAAAAAATATTTTGTTTTTCCTATTGATATTTTATGCCTAAAAGTAGTTAGTTACAAGTTAGTTACATCAAATGCGGAAATATAGAAGTATAGTTAGCTTTCGTCAAAGAAAATATGCAGATAATAAGTGACTTATAGCTCCTTCCTAATCAAGTTAAAGTTAGCTTATAGTGAGATACATTTCCTGCAGGGCGTATTCGGCTCCGTATTCGAACTCCGTCAGACACAACTTCAAAATGATAACATGAAATTTCGATCTTCCTTTTAGTTGTCCTCAATTAGAAAGAGTATTTGCGAAGTGTTAGATATTTAAATATAAACGCTTTTTAAAAAACAATCTCCTTCATTACGCCTGCATTATTTGTCAACTAGTTTTAAGTTAGCTTTTTTAGCTAACTATAAGTTATATGTTTTTTAGAAATCCCGCAAAAAAGCTAACTACAAGTGGATTATTTTTTATCAATTGATAATTTTTTTCCGCAGGGAAACCTATCTATGCATGTGTGTTTGTGTGCTTTCAATGAGATATGTGCGTCATAGCGACAGACTGTAAAGAAGCTGATAATCACATTATTGCCATTTCAAAGGATAAATACCGTTAAGGCTAAAGTACGAGTAAGTATATATGTACGTACATATGTACATATGTACTTGTAGGAGCATTTGAAACAAGTGTCGGTTCCCACAATACTCGTAAGTAACTATTGCGTGAAAATACCATTATCCTGATCACAGTCGTTTTGCGGTGCCGCAGCGCTACAGTTGAATCAAATTTTCTTTTTCCGGTTTCGATTGCAAGGAAATGTCCGTTGAAGAAACAAAATTGAAATTGCAACAAATTTTAGCAAAATGCAAGAATATGTGCATCGAACCGAAAGCTTTCGCGTGTGTGCAAAAATTTTTAAGTGAAAATGAAAGTGAAGGTGGTGAGAGTAAAAGCTGGAAGCTATTGAAATTTTGTTTGATCTTTGCTTTACTGGCATATGGCTATGATTATTTCTGCAATGAGCTATCGTCAAAGGTATGCTGAAAAATATGTAGACATATGTATTAGGGATGTTTTGAATGACATATTTTTCACATTCGCGAATGCGAATGCCAATACGAATTTTCGGATTGCGAATGTGAATGTGAATGGAAATGTTAGGAATAACATTAATAAAAGCTATAATCAACTTAGTCATCGTTTTTATTTCTTAAAAAATTTGTAAATTATTAGAACATTGAACGAGTGCTTAACCTATACAGCGTTTTAATGTAGTAGTGAAAGTTCAAAAGGGGCATATTATATTTCAAAAAGGTAATTTTGTTGCCTTTTCTCCCATGAAGTGATTTCTTAGAGGCTCGTATATGAGGCCGGCTGCACTGAACAATCGCTCACTTGGAACGCTGGCAGGTGGAGCGCTCAAATATTTTCCTGCCAGATCTGTCAATTTGTCGAATTTTAGTTTAGTTTTCACAGAGATGAGCTTGTTTTTATTTAAGATAGGCCTTCAATTGAACTTTAATTTCAAATTTTTAATGTCTCCAGATTCTACTTCCGAGCCTTTGCTTTCGCTGGAGGAATTTCAAATTATTTCTAGGTGGCTTATAAGACGTTTAGCAGTACTTGTTGAAGGCCCATAGATGTTGCTTGATATACTACCTAACCCTGGTTAGAGCCATTTCAACAACATTAGAGTGGACACTCTGCCCATGTACACATTCACATTCGCAAAACATTCGTATCATTTAATGCGAATGCGAATGTGTAAAAGGATGCGAACCATTCGCATAACCAATGTGAATGCAAATATTCACAAAGGTCCTGATATGTATACATGCTTAGGTACATACCAGGGTTGTTGCGAATATTATTCCGAAATAAAAGTTCTTTCCGGATAATAAACAAACCGCTTATCCAAATTAAACAAGTTTGGGATCAAATGAAAGAGGATTTAAATAGCTTTAAAACTGAGATTTCTAAACGCGGAAAGCCACATATTGAAAAATATTTCAATCAAAAATGTTAACTAATTACCACAAAACAAATCTTGTGTCAGGTATGTGCATTTCTTTAGTATTAAATTATAAAAACTATATAAATAGAGGTCGTTCGCTATTTCTATTTAAACGCTATTTCAGTCCTCTTTCATATGATACCAAATTTGTTTAATTTGGACAGACGGTTTGCTTATTAAGCGGAAAGGACTTTTATTTCGGAAAAATATTCGCAACAACCCTGGTACATACATACAAATGTGTAACTCAAAATATAAATTACGATGTTTATTAAGGAAATCCAATGCCTTTTGAATACTGTGGGGTTAGTCACAAAGAGGGAATCAGCAGGTTGTTAAATCGTTGTAATTTTGAAAATTAGAATTTTTAGTGTTCTTCTAACATAGTGAAATACTCAACAAAACTTCTTATGGCTAAACGTTAGTAGACATACGTGCAACAGTGTTTCGAGTCTATCTGTTGTAAAACTAGTAAACCTGCATGGATTGCGCTGGAACTTAGCATATTCTTTATTTTTTGTAGGATGTGTGTAAAATATTGTAAAATGTGGTAAAGACTGGCTCATTGCCACGCCCTCCACACTTATGGGCGGAATCATTAGGTTAAATAAGGTTAGGAACGCGCGTACGAATGACTTCTATTTCAGTCAGAGGCAGATTTGCCCATTGTGAATACCCTCTATGAGTGCCATTCTTCTAGCCAAGGTCAATCGATACAGTCAGTATAGAGTCTATCCAACCATTTACTATCTCGGATGAAGCCGTGGGGATCCGATATTTTCACCTCCGCTATCTCCCCCAAGCTATTGAATTTGCATAATCCCAAATGCTTGGAAGGCTTTAGCTGAAGATCTGGGCATTGGCATAAGAAGTAGTGCATCAATTCCTTATTATCCTCATCCCGACAATTTCTGCAGAGGTAGCTCGTTTATATGCGCCATCAAAGGAGCATTGGTGCTATATCACAGTGCTCTGTTAAACATAAACATAAACATATTGAGTGCAGGATCTTGAGACCTCACAGTCCAGGAACCCAGCATAGAGGGGTTTTAACGTGACTCAATGAAGCTAACATTACACCAGATTTCCGAACTTCTGTCGACTTTACTATCGTGAAGCCTAATGTTTTCAATGCCGCCTGGGTGCCAACGAATATAGTGACATTCCCTGACAGATACATTCTATCCTGTATTAGCCACGCCGCCTTATCTATGGCAAAGGTGAACGCCTAAAAGATAATGCAGTTATCAGGCATGCGATATGATTGCCTTATTGAAGGTCCTCGGAGTGCAGACCCGAGTCGACCCCTTTTTCTATCTTTGCTCCATCGGTGGAGATACCATCATTTATCGACCGGAAGCCACCACCCCAATCTCCGGATTGGAAAGTGTATGGGCATCTTAAAACTAAACTCCCAGAAGGACGTGAGGTTATCAGTTTCGGCATCTTATTCGGTCTTGATTCGGTTACGCTGTCCACTGTTAACTATTTTCAAGCCCGCTGCCTGCCCGTAGTTGGTCTGCTTCCACAATTTTGATTACCTAAGCCTAAGGGCTTCTTTTTCCACTGCACCTGTTACGAATACTTGCGGTAGCCTCAAGTAAAAGATCATGTTCAGCCCTCCTTGTAGTGCGCATCTCTCGGCGTGTGATATACAGAGGCTTGCTAGTCATGAACATAAATTTTTGGGGTTTAAGCAAACAACTGGACATAAATTTCTAGTAATGTAAAAATTGAACATGAATTTCTTGCCTATTAAAAACTGAACATAAGAGTTTACTCATTGAAAACTGGACTTTAATATTTGTTCATCTAAAAACTTGAGATAAATTTGTAGCAATTTAAAATTGAATAAATTTGTATGGTCGATTAAAAAAATTGGAAAATAAATATTTTTTTTTAACTATGCATACATTTTTGCCTCTTTAAAAGCTGCACGTGGCCATTCAAGAACTAGATACACAACGAAAGTAGTTTAAAAACCAGACATACATTTTTTTACCTTAAAAGTTGGGCATATTACTACACTAGTAGCACACTAGTTATAAACTTCTGTAAACGTAAACGGTTTATCGATCGTATAATTGCATGGGAAGTCGGCCCATAAATATTGCTAATATTATTTCCATGCCAACGGTGTCGTAGTGTAACAGTATACTCGTATTGATGGCAGTTTAAAAGCGCAAGCAAATAACAAATAATTATTTTTCAGCGTTGCATATTGGAATTACCACGCCCACTTCGCTACGCCTTTCGACCGCCGGAAGAGTGCGATTTCTGCGCGAACATTGAGAGTGCGATACGATTGCGTGGCATAACGAGTGAAGAATTTGCGTCGAAATATGCCTACACTGGAAGCCCAGTAATTGTGGAGGATGCAACAAAGAATTGGACTGCACCAACAGTGAGTATAATAAATATAAAGGAAACTTAAAAGTAAATATTTGGCGCTCATATTTTTTGTGAAGTGTTTGGCCGAGCTTCTCCCTCAATTTTTTGGTCTGCGTGTTATTGTTATTCCGCAAGTGGAGGGATTTTACATTTTACGCCAGCTAAGAACGTTAAATAGCTTTTATATGAGAAGCTTTTGCATGGCAGAACTACACTCGGAGGTGTTTGAGAACTTAAGGATTGACACCTAAGTCCTTTCGATAAGAATTTCGATAAGAAATTGAGTTTCTTAACTTACATTAACTATACTATTTCAAAATCGTATGTAATGTTCGCCTTTATTCGTCGTAATAGTCCTTTTTTATAACGTTAATTTCAATATATTGTTTGTTTCAACAACGAATAAGGCATTTAAATTTCCGAATATTAAAACAATTATTTATGTACAATATACATTATAGTATACATTATAAAATAAATTGTATATACTACAATTTATAAATTTCACATTTCTCTTACAGAAATTCAATTACTGGTATTTTCGCGATGTCTACACAAATGCGAAACGTAAACAAAAAATTCTCGATTGCCAATTTCTTCCCTACAAGACTGGTTTCAAAAATCTCTACAATGCATTGGATATGCCAAAGCAGCGTGTAGACTTGCAACCCGGCAGTGAGCCATGGTACTTTGGTTGGAGCAATTGTAATCCCGAAACGGCCGAAGAGTTTCGTAAGCATTATGGACGTCCCTACTTTCTACCGCCCACATCTGAGAATAATGCAGTCGATTGGTTTTTCATCGGCACAGCTGGTTTGGGTGCACACATGCATGTAAGTACAAAGGAAGAACGCAAGCAGTAAAGCAAGTTTTGGTGCAATTTCACAATGCAATTTCCTCTTTTCACTTTCTACAGATCGATAATGTGCGTCTGCCTTCGTGGCAGGCACAGCTGTCGGGCAGTAAACGTTGGCTACTCGCACCGCCACCAGAATGCTATTTCAAATGCAAACGCTTCGATACAATTGTGCGCACAGGCGATATAAGTAAGGAGTTCGTATTATTTTCAGTTTGCCAAAGCAATATATATGGGTTTGGAAATGTCTTTACAGTTGTACTGGACACCAACAAGTGGTACCATCAGACGTTTGTGCAACCGGGTGAAGTTAGTCTAACCATTGGCGCTGAGTATGATTAAGAGAGACCATCGGTCTACTGCAATTGTCATCACTAAAAACTAAATTTTCATTAAATCTTCATTTGGGTGGGTCACCAAAACAAGTTGCGGTTTTTTCACGCGATTTATAAAATTTATTACCTTTATTCTAAGCCTTCCGCCAAAATATTTCGAAAAAAAATTTAAGACTTAAGTGAGCTAGACCAATTTTAAATTACTTAAAAAATCTCAATATTTTGATTTGAATGATAAAATTTTTAGACGTTTTTATTTTTTAATATTATATAACGTGATATTTTTATAAATAATATATTTAAAAAATATTTTCATTTATAAAAACCTTGATTTTTGGAGTGATTTTCTATACTTATCCGAAATTTTTTGGTGAAATTCCTAGAATATAAGAAATGTAATATGTATTTCCGATAAAAACACCGTACCGATTTATTTGCATAGACAGTGATGCACCTTAATGTACATACATACGTATTACCAAAATACGCCAATAAAAAGGCAATTCCCGTATGCATTTTTGTTTATTTTTAATTCACTTAAAAGTCCCAAATGGTTGAAACAAAATATATTGTTGGAAATTATTAAATAGATATACGTAGTACGTACCAATGATTCACTTAAGCGTAGTTAAAGTTTATGTTCCTTTGGTATATTTTATTACCATCACTGGGAGGTAACCAGTATATATTGGTGAACAGCAGGGTCAATAAGAATGGGCTTTTGAATAGAAAAAATATAGTTAGAAACTTTTACCAAGTTTTTCAATATCCTACATTTTATATTTATTCTAATATAAGTTCCTTACACCAGGGATGGAATTTTAAAATTTAAAATTGGATCGAAATTTTTTAACAGTCTCGGTCAAAATTCAGCTTAAAAAATGTTTAGGTTTTTTTTTAAACCCATATATTTCAGACATTTTGTTTGTTTGAAAATCGTGTTTTAAAGAAAGTCAAGAAAGCAAATATAAACGTTTCTTATGATATCTTGAAATCGAAAATTGGGCAAGATATGACTGAGTTTTTCAAGTTTCACGCACTTAAAACTTACAGAAAATAATACAAGCTTATGGACCTGTATGGCGTTAAAGCGCCAAAATCATTGGTTATGAAATTGCGCAAAGAAGAAGAAATTTTCAAAAAATTGCAATAAATATTTTTTCATCAAATCACCTCATCCAGTACAGCGAACCCTCTACTCAGTCGGACGGCCCTTTTTATGCCACTCGGGGCGCCCCAATTACGGATGCAAGACAAAAAAGACCGTCTAAAAATATTTCAGCAGAACCAACAACATCGATCTCAAGTAGAGCCACTGCATCACTGAGCTTTCCTACAGCAGAAAGGGCCACAACAAAGCCATACAACGAGGAGGATACAACCATAGATTCCATCCAATTTTGGGCAAAGTTAAAGCTTCTGCTCAACACCATTCCTCAGCATCTTCTCGTATTTTTAGAACTGCCCGCTGTGGGTTAAAATTTTTGCATCAAATTAGGTACAATTTGAAAATTTAATTTTCCATCACTGGTTACGATACATGTATACATACATCCAAAAATGTAAATACAGCGATGAATTTAGCGCAATCATAGAAGAGCGCAAAGCATGCGTTAAAATGCAGTTCAACAAGTTGTTGGCAAATTTTTGTTGCCAACTTTGGTTACTTCAATTGAGATCATTATTTTGAGTTTCTTTTTTTTTTGTTTTTGCCAGGTAAGTATAACCTTTTTAGTGTTGTCATGTGGCTTTGCTTATGAGATAACCGGTCAAATACCGACGTGGCCTAGACCAAGATGCGAAGATCTATTTACGCACAAAAATGCGTAACTTTTACATCATCAACATGCAAATGCTACATAAAAGATGTAGCAACAACAAAAGCTGTATGTATGTATTTTTATACGCGTAAATGGAATTTCACTTTTTTTCTCTAAAAAGAGCTTTCTTATCAATATTTTCTTAGTCGCAGCAGCCGGCTGCGTTGGACGTGTGTACGCTGATTTCGCAAAAATGTCGCTGACGAGGCACAAAAATAACTGGTAGTCTTTATGCAATATGCATGTCTTAACCAGTCCAAAGACAGTTTCAAGTCACCTTCAACCACCCAGCACTATTTTTTCTCCAACCGGTCAACCTGTTTTATTCGCTCAAAAAACTGCTTAACTCTGTAATTCGCTACTTATTCCGAATTGATTCAACTAAACTTTTTTTTTTATATTTTGATAGAAAATTGCACTTAATAAAGTTCAATGTGCGTTTGGCAGCAACTTTCAGTAATTGCAGCTCGAATGGATTGTATAAAGAATGATGGAAACGGAGAAAAAGAAATAATAGTTTAGAGGTTTGCAATTTTTAAATTCAAGGGCAGCCTCGTTTGTTAACTTTGGTCCCGATTTTATGAAGCGCGTGTCTGTGACTTTTTTTGGCGATACTTCTCAGGTGTGTTAGATGACAACCCCCCTCTAAATTTTGTCTTACAAAATACTTTTAACTACACACAGTCTGTTGAGAGACAAAAGTAAGACGATTGCCAATTCTGGCAACCGTTTAAAAAAATCTTTTCTGTCTTTCGAAAGACTAATTGAAAGACCCGCTACCGAGAAGGCCTTTGATTATTTTTCGGTTTAAAAATTAAATTAAATTTGATAAAGGTATGATAAAAAACAGGTATCTGAAAGAATTTTTAAAAATCAAATAAGTTGCTAAAAATTTAAATAAATTAAAAAAGTTTTAATTTTAAACAATAAAATGTAAAAATGAAAAGAAAAATCAAATAAAAAATATATTAAATAAAAAAATAAATTCATAGCAATTAAAAGATATTAAAAATTTATTTTTGTTATTTACAACAAGAAAATTTAATCAAAAACGAAAAAAAAAAGTTTGAAACGAGAAAAAAATTTCTTTCTAAAATAATAAAATCGAAAACTAAATTAAAAAAGAAAAGAAGAAATTATAGTTAAAGTTATAGTTAAAGTTATATATATATTCTCTTTTAAATAAAAAATCTAAGATTAAAAGAAAATTAAATTTAAACAAGTAATTTTTAAGCATAAAACCAGATTAGTATGGGACCACCTTTGAGATACTACATTTCCGAGCAAAAATAATTATCGAAATCGGTTGACGTGGTCCAAAGTTATGCGGTAACATACATAAAAAAAAACTAACAAAATAAATTCCGACGAACTGATAATCACCTCCTTTTTGGAAGTCAGTTAAAAACTAAATAAAATTAAAAAAAGAAAAGGAATTTCCGGTGCCCGAGAACTCGAACTCGGATCTTTTGAGTAGCACGCTAGTCGCTCGCTCGGTCATTGCGACTGTTTAAGCAGAGCGATGAAAATTATATAAAAGTTTTACAGAACTTTTAATCTCGGAGCTATACATTATGATATTATTTAAAACACTTGTATATAAATTCAAAAGTTAAAAAAAGAAACAGAATTTTCACAGCGAAAGTTGAAGTTATTAACCAGCTAACGAGCAATCACACCTAGGTAACTGAAATTAATACCTTCGGCGAAAACTTCCTGAATCGTTGTTGCGGCACACTGCACACTGAGCATCTTTGCGTGAACGTCTTCGAGCTTCAAATTTCAAAGTGGCAGTTGCAAGCCCAAAAATGTTGCACTAACAACGCATTCGCACCAGCAAAGCGCGAACACAGTCAGACTGGCAGGTAGGTAAAAGCTGATTCAACTGTGTTGGTACCCTGCAGAAAAGAAATTATCAATTGATAAAAAATAACCCACTTGTAGTTAGCCTTTCTGCGGTATTTCTTTAAAATATATAACTTGTAGTTAGCTACAAAATGCTAGCTTGAAGCTTGTTGACAAGTATTTAATGCGGGTGTAATGCAGGAGATTGTGTGCTTTAAACGCGTTTCTATTTAAATATTCTGCACTTCGCAAATACTCTTTCGAATTGAGGACAAATAAAAGGAAGATCGAAATTTCATGTTATCATTTTGAAGTTATGTCTGACGGAGTTCGAATATGTGACCACCTACAGCAGAATATGTAAACAAATATGAAATGTAATAAAATAAATAAAAAACAAATAAATGTTTTGTTTTTCTTATTGATATTTTATGTCCAAAAGTAGTTAGTTACAAGTTAGCTGCATTAAATGCAGAGGTATAGTTTCGTCAAAGAAAATCAACTTAATCAATTTAAAGTTAACTTATAGCTAGATTTATTTCCTGCAGGGTAGGTGAACCAAGCACATATATGTATAGGTATGTGCGTAGAAACATAGCAGGCGGGCGCGCGTGCGTTAAAATGTTGCCACACCACACGCGTGCGCTCAACCACTTTGCCGCCGCCGGAGCGTTGCATGCCAACCACATTTCAATTGTGACTTCCAACTTTGCTGAGTCACTTTTTTCTTTATGCTACCAGCTGCTGCTGCGACTTGCAGTTAATGTTTTCCTTTTATACCAGTACTTACTTATGTACGCGTATACTTCGATTGGTCAGTGGTCACAGTGGTTTTTTGGTGAGTGTTCCTCAATTTGGCTGGATGATGCTGCGGCAGCCACGCACTCGTACTTTCATTTGTGGTGACTGCATAGCAAACTAGGAAAACTAGTCCTCAACAACATCTGAATTTGAAAATGTATTTTTGCGTTTGTTTCGTTTGTTTGTTTTCTTTGTTTGGACTTTTTACCTGATATATAAATTAAAGCACGCATAGTAAGTGCGTCATGTGACTTTGTGGCACTTGGAAACAACTCGACACTGGGTGCTTGCCCAAGGAAAAAGTGAACAATTTTTGGACATCAACGTATATATTTATGTAGAGGTTAGTGCACTCTTACAAACTAACATACATAAATAAGTATGTATTTACATAAATATATGCGGATGCGAATGATATTTAGTATAGAAGAAGTTTGTATCGTCGCAGGGCGCAATATCTCGTATCCACCAAATGTAAAACCGCGTGTGTAGAGGGTTTGGCAAAAACTTTATTTTAAACATAAGTGCCCTTTATCAATGGTAGCCTACTCTAAAAGGGTTACCTGTAAGTAAGTAATAAGTAGTAGAAGCTCAGCAACGGGTTGTGCGCCACGTAAAAATAATTACCAATGGACAGAAAAGCAAAGCCTCGGATGAGACCGCTACTTTTGATG